AGCTGCTGCATTGTAAATTTTGGTCAATGACATGAGACAAAGTATATGTGAACAGCTGTATGAAAAGTGAATTTACTCTGTAAATCTTCACCGAAATCCTAATTAAAAAAAAAAAAAAAAAGACTCAAAGCAGGAAGAGCTGAGAGAAGACTTTGGTCATTGTTTAGGTGAGTGAAGACAAAGGCTTGGACTAGGACTATGGCCACAGAGATGGAGAGGAGGAGCCAGATTTATGTGACAGTGGGGAGGCAACATGGCAGGGTTTGGTCTATGGAGTGGGTACAAAGATGAGAAAGGTAGAGTTGAAGCCACCAGCTTGAATCTCTGATGGCGGGATGGTGGTACAGTCTCATGGTGAGAACCATGTGCTGGCATGTGGCTGCCCACCCACATTTTCCCCAGGAGCAGGCATAGCCCTCTGGAGGCAGCAGTATCAACAGGCAGAGCCATGAGGAGAATGGGATCAGAGAAGCTGGGCCATTCCCCCACTGCTGTTAAGACAAGCAAGCAGGGAAGCAGAGGGCCTGAAGTGGGGAGGAGCTGGGACAACCATCGGCTTTGCTTTCAGGACTGCACAAGCCCATGGAGTGCATCTGACACTAAGGAGGTAAGCCTGTCCTGGACAAGGAGATGGCAGTGGGGCAGGACATGGAGACAGTGTGATACAGTGGGGGATGGGGAAGGAGGCAACACTGGCCACAGAATGGCAGAAGCTCTGAGGTTCAGGAAGGCCAGAGCAAACAGCTAACGAGAGGCTTAGGTCAGAATCCAGATGCCTCATGCACAGTATGCGCATGGCTGAAATGCTTCTATTTGGGCTGAATCACCATTTCCTATGGCTTTGCCCAGGGGCTGCTGAAAGGAGCTGTCAGGAATGTTTATGCTCCTGGACAGGGACAGTTTTTCCCTCTCCATTGTGCACATTCTCCTTAATGAAGGGAAGTAGGCTGGGATGTCTCTTGGGGACAAGGCTTCTCCAGGCTGAGCCAGCTCAGCAGTCCAACGGGGCTCACAGTCCCTAAGCATCAAGTACCCCACCCAACCAACAGTGAGTTTGTGCCTGGAGTCACTAGGCAGAGCAGTGGCTGGGGTACCATGACTCTGCGGTGATCCCTTGGTGCCCCCATCCAGCTAGCCAGGCTAGCGCCAACCCCCCCATGAGCCTCTGGACCTAGGGCTGGGGAGGTGGCAGTGTACAGCCTGGAGGGCCACATGGCCATCACATGAGATCACTTATCTTGCTTAGGGCTGCCCTTCCCTAAGGCATGTTGGAAAATAGAGCCTATGGTGGCCAAAACAGTCCTTGCAGCACTAGGTGGTTTCCATGGTAGTTCCCATGGGACCTTGGCCCAAAGTAAATCAGGACAAAATGCCACCAAGGTCACAATGACACATGCTTGCCTTTCTTCTTCCTTCCTGGGCCAGTGGTGGTCTGCATTCCACATCCCCCTGCTCTGCCATTGTCCATGCATGGCTTAGCCCAGGAGTCCAAAGGGCTCAGGTGGCTGCCTGTATGCAGGAGGCAGGGGTCTTGGCTCAACCATCTCCTGGCACAATATTGCTGGGAAACACATTCATCTGCCAAGATGACCCAAACACAAACCCCAAGGACACTCTGGGGGTGGGGGAAATACACTCAGCTATGCCCAAGGCAGCCACTATAGGATTCATACGGGTAGTCCCGGGCAGAGGGGAGTGGGAAAGGGATTGGGGTAGGCTCAGAGCAACCTCCGGGCACAAATTGGTGAAGCTCTGCCAGGGTAGCTGTACACCCTCTGAGCTTCCAGGCTGAGCTTCAAGTTTCCAGAGAACATTGGGCCTCCTGCTCCTTTTTGGCCCTCTCTGCACAGTGTCTAGTGTCATTTCCTGGAATCAAAGCTACAGAAACTGACCCCAACCTCAGCATTCCCTCAGAATTTGTTATGGGTTGACTGGTACACCATACGATCCTTAGCCTACACAACTATGAGACCAGAAGAACTACATGGTGCCCAGCTACCACTGTCAATCACTCAGGGGGATCTATGTAGGAGATCCTGGATAGAGTGGGAGAACAATGTGGAACAAAACTCAAAATCA